GGTGTGGAGTGTGAGTGCGGGTGTGGGGTGTGAGTGCGGGTGTAGGGTGGTGGCTGTATGGGTGTGGCTGTGAATGGGTATATATTCTTTAAGCACACCCACATCCACCGACAACCACACCGACATCAACATCCACATCCACACCCACACCCACACTCACACCCACACCCACACCCACACCCACCCACACCCTCACATCCGCACCCAAATCCTTTTAAAGATTTTATTAGAGTATTATGTAGTATCTATAGACAAAAAAAATCATTGCAATCAGAATGAAGCTACTGAAGAGATATCTCTATTGCATTCTTTTGAACAGATTTTATTTCAACAATTATATTTTTTTTTGAAAGAATGAGATGCAAGCGATGGTGTTTTTTTTGTTGTTGAAAGAATAGTAATTGATCGTGATCAATGTTTTCATTTATGCTAACACATTTTACATCGTTTTGTTATCGATGTTTTGTGCCATCGAACAATTTATGCATAATGGATGTCTTACTTTCTTTGTTTTTTTTGCTGTAACCATTCAAACATGTATACTCTTGTAAATCAATTTAAGAAATCTCATCTTGTACAAAAAAAAGCTGTAGGCGAAATAAAAACAACAACAACAATCGATGCGCTTTTGCCGATGACAAAAATGTCATTAGCACGTCACTTTGAATTTAAACGAAAAGCATTAGTTGCTCATTGGTGAATTCTTTATTTTTCATCTTATTCATTTTTTTTAAAGCATAGCAACAACAGTCGTCTGAAATTTGGAACATTGAGTTTAAAAAACTTTCGCATTACAAATGGCCTCATATGAAGAGTATTATGTTAATTTAGATAATGTCAGACAGATTCGATCAAGGAAGTGAGTGACTTTCATTTTTTCAATCATCGAATGCTTCTCTCTTATGTGTCAGACGTGCTGGAAAACTACCTTCATCAAATTGGAATTTATTTGGTAAAATATTTCTAGGTACCGTGGCAGCGTTAATGATAGGAGGCGCAACTGCAGCTGTCATACTTGTTACTTTCATTGCTGTGAAAGATGCAGAAACGACCACCACTTCTACGACAACTAGTAAGAAAAGTCATTTATTTTTTAGAATTATCGTACAATAATGTTTTTTTCTTTCTGATACTTAGAGGTAATCAAAAGTTCTAAGAACATTAAATAAAAATATAAAGATGCAGAGATATTTTCAATTTTATCTTATCAAATGTTGAGAATAGTTGCCATGGCTATTTATATCAAGTTCAATCCTTTCTAACAATTTATTAAAAGTTTTTTTTGAAGTCTTTTTCGAAAAAATTTTTAGCTGCCTTGGAAACCACATGAACTAATCATATTTCATTTGTTTTAAAAATTTAGTGGAATTTTGTTCGATCATGTTAGTTGCATTCTAACATTACTAGTAATGGGATATAGATTTATTTTAGATAGGTCAGTCATAAGACATCTGATGCTAACTGGTATACTGAAGATGAATTGGCAAAGACTATTGTTCATGGAGACAGATGTGAAGAAAAACTTTGTTTAGTATATCCATTATAAATCAAATAGCTCGGAGTGTCGATAAAGACAAGACTATAGATCACAAACAACAGGTGGCCCATAAAGAATTGCCCTCTTAGTATTTTTAACATTTCTCCTCTATTATCCGTGTGATTCAAACACCTTTTTTTATCAAAAGATAGCGCTTGAAATTCTCTACAAAACCACATATGATTAGACCTTAAAACTATTTTAGATATATCTGAGAAAAGGTGAAAAATGAAGACACACAAAAAGCTGTAAAAAATAACGGGCTGTACATAATGAAGGATCGCGCTTTGTATCTAATGTTTTCATCATTTCGTCCTATTAAAAAATAAAATAAACCAAGAGATGCAGCGTGAAAAACTCTACAATTTACAAAGAATAAATTATAAAAAAGAGAAAATAAGAAAAGAAGAATTCATCTTATACTAAAAAAATATCATTTTCGCACGGTCGGAATTCGATTGCTCAAAATTTTGTCCATTTTGAAAACAAAAAGTACGACTATAAAATAGCAGATCTTGTGTAAATTGTAGAGCTGTTCACGCTGCATCTTTTGGTATACTTTATTTATCTAATAGGGCGAAGTAAGTGATGAAAAAATAGGATGCAAAGCGTGACCATTCATTAATGTACAATCCGTTACTTTTTACCGCTTTTTGTGTGTCTTCATTTTTCATCTTTTTTCAGATATATCTAAAGCAGTTTTAAGGTCTAGTCATATATGATTTTGTAGATAATTTCAAGCGCTATCTTTTGATAGAAAAAGGTGTTTAAATAACAGGGATAATAGAGGAGAAATGGTAAAAATACTAAGAGGGCAATTCTTTATGGGCCATCCGTTATTTCATGTAAATCAAACCATGTTGCCTACCTATTGTACATCCAACAATGTGGATTGCAGATGGAACAAATATCAGGCACTGACGAAAGGAACAAGCGAGCACTAAGGAAAATAAGGATCTATTTCATAATTACAGGATGTTTACTATTACCAGTGAGCCGCTTACCACAACAAATAAAACTCTTTCTTGAGCCCATAATTTAAAATCAAGATATTCAAATTTATAAATGAGTTGTAGCTATTCGCTTAACAACAAGTACGCAACAATGATCATAAATGTAAGTGGTGATCCATAGCTATATATATCCATATTTTACTGTGTTCTTTCATTTGTCCTCTATTACAAATATTAAACGTGACCAGTAATTACTAGCATTCGAACAGTTATAGAGGCAACTTAGAGCAGTAGCTAATGATCGTTGAATTTTCTACTAATATATATTTCACTAGCTTACATCATACAATGGCATCAATTAGTAATTATATAGGATAGTTTCTACTCTACAATCAGATCTAATAACTAACATAGTTATGCTATCGCAGATCATTTAGACATTTAGAACTTCGATAATTTACTATTTTCATACATTCATTAGATGAGTACCAACATCGATAAACTGAAATTGAATTACTCTGAACAACAGGAAGAAATATTCCTGTAGTAATATCATATCGTGGATGGACTACACATAATTGATATTATAACTATATCAGTGCAGTAATATTGCAAGGCATTGTCCACGCCTTTCGAATCCGAATGTGGTTTGTAGTTTTCCAGAACTTACTACGAGCTATGCATCGACAAAAAATAGCATCCGTGTCTATTCAAGTACTGGAGAAAAACTGGATAACATTCGATGATGTGATAGTGTACGTATATGTGTAGATTTTTAAGGTAATTGTTTCAAAAGTGTTTCTTATCGAATACATTCCAAGTGTACTTTTATATAGTTTTCCTATGAATTTTGTGCTGCACTGACTGATGTCTAACAGTCGTTTCTTCGATTTACTTTGCGGTACGACTGACTTCACAATATGTTTTACATACGATTCTTTTTACCACTTACCAAATTTATTGTCAAACTAGTAGAAAACATTGTACACTGTTGAAAAGTATCATACAGTTAGATATCAAAATCAATTATCTGTCTAACTATATAAAATTAGTGAGTTTTTTTATTCTGAAAAATTTTTAAAAAGGACTAACTTGGCTAGTATATTCACCAACGTCGTTCTTCAGACACAGAGAGAGAAGAGAAAGAAAGCAAATAAAAAGGATTGACCTTAGTTTTCATAGTACAATGTATGATTTGTACGATGGACCAAAGATAAGAATGAATGAATATACATGTTGTGGTCAAAATTAAAACTTAGTCAAATTTAAAATTTGCCTAGTCAAAATTGAAATTTGTTTTGATAAAGAGAAAAAGGCAAAATGAAACATAAAAAGGCAAAATGAAAGATAAAAAGTTAAAGTACAAGCAACCTTTTTTATTTTATAATAGTTTTAAACAAATATCCTATGAGTTCTAAATTAATTTAGCCTGTGTTTGAGCATTCACTCTTCTTTGAATAACATTTGATAGAGTAGAAAACGTATTTTTTTTGCATAGATGCGTTTTTGTCGCATATTTTCTTGACAATTAAAAGTTTATCCAGCCGCGAAACCACGAGAATTACGCTTGGAACCCATGTATTATTTTCAAACAAATTTAAAAAAGATAATTATTTAATGTAAATTAATTTGTCAATATGGGGCTTGGAAAAATACATCTGAAGTTGGACCATTTGCGAATTTAAAAGATGCATATTCCAATGAATTCAAACATATAGATGTTAATAATCTAAATCCAGCTACCATTGTTGAGACTTGAACTTTTGGCTCTCGTAGTTCCACAGCCAGACATACTTGTAATTGCCAAGTAAATATGCGACAAAGACATATTTATGCAAAAAATACGTTTTCTTCTCTATCAAATGTTATTCAAAGAAGAGTGAATGCTCAAACACAGGCTAAATTAATTTAGAACTCATAGGATATTTGTTTAAAACTATTATAAAATAAAAAAAGGCGGCTTGTACTTTAGCTTTTTTATCTTTCATTTTATCTTTTTTTTCTTTATCAAAACGAATTTTAATTTTGACCACAACATACATAAGGCCAACGATAAGGAAAGATGATCATTCTTGTTACAGTACTTGCTAACGAAGGATTATAACATGAACCTATCGTAACATCAGTGACACACTATAAAGTTATTCTGTAGTACCCTACTGAGCACCAAAGTTTGGATGTTGAAATGACCGTTATATTCTTTAAATAGAACTGCTCAGTAGAGTATATGCATCTTGAACATCATACGATTGAGATTTGTATCTGTACATATTGCTTCTTTTACTTGACAAAAATCTCAGCAACAAAGCTGACAACAATAACCTCGACAACACCCAAATAGACAAAAATTTTCAAAAAGGCTCTTAAAAGCAAAAAATAAACAGCATAAAATCGACAAAAAGTGGGGGTGTTTGGCTCACAATTGTGGTTCCCAACTGTGAGGTAAAAACGTCCATTTTTCCCCTTTTTGTGCGTTTAAACGCATTTTCAACCAAAAAACACGTGTATACGCATAAAAAGAAAATAAAAAGTGGTCGTTTTTCTTGTAATCAAGAACCGTTATTGTAATAAGCATCATGATTCGCGACTATGAGAAAAACGATCACTTTTTATTTTCTTTTTATGCGTGTACACATGTTTTTCGGCTGAAAGCGTGTTTAAATGCACAAAAAGGGCAAAAAATAGACGCTTTTATCTTACGGTCGAGAACCACGATTGTGAGTCAAACACGCCCACTTTTTGTCGATTTTATGCTGATTTTTGTGCGTTTAAACGGATTTTTGAAAATTTTTGTTTGCTTGGGCAGCTACCACAGTTACGAGTACCACTTCCAGTACTACTAGCACATCCACAACGACAACAGCAACGACAACGACAACTACAACGACAACAACCACAACCGGTATAAATAACTTATCAAAGAATTTTCTAGATAATGCAGAAAGCAAATATGAAATCATAATTACAATTTTTTGCCAAAAACTTCACTAAATTGTTTTGCTAAACGTCACAGAAACATATTAATGTGCAAAAAGCAAGTATCCCATGAACCTCGAATTCTAATTCTTCCCTCTCAAACCATTGTTCTGTTTCTGCACGAGCGAATCCTCCTATCACTCATTGATGAGATGATTCACGATAATCAGTAGCATGAAACCATACTTCCTGAATATCGAAAAACCTGAATAGATTTTTTATGGTTTTGATAGCAGGTGATGTTCATTGGCTATCAATTCGTTTGACCTTATACTACTAACTGAATAAATACATAGATTTTGGTTTGTATAACTACAGAGATGGAAAAGCCAATAGCAAACCAAAATGATATGATAAATATTCCTTCGACCAAGGTTAGGAATGGAACGAAAGATTCCAATTAATTTTTCTACTCTATACTTCAATAGTCATTAATGATCGTGCTTCACAAAATTATATCTATCTGTTTAAACTTAAGGAAGCCTTTTGTTGACCCAAAATTGTCACTTTTTTCTTTTTTTGACTTTTTAATGCTGGGTGTATAAACTTAAATGCCCTCTATCTAATGAGCACATTTTAAGAAGGTAAAACCACCTTTCTTCATGTAGGAACTCGAAAATACCCATTTTATGCTAAAAAAAGTCAGAAACTGCAATTTTTTGATTTTGTCAAAATCAGATTTTCAAACAAAACCTTGAAGTTTTCCTCCTTTTTCTCCTACATGATACAATCGATTGGGCTCAAACTTTTATTTTTATCAGTACTTCGATCAAATCGGGGTGCGTGGTTTTTCCTCTTTTGAAAACAGTATACCTTTGAGGTTCGACAGATATTACAAATTTATCACCATTCGAAAAAAATCTTTTCTTAATGATTTTTTGATAGTGCCTCGAGTGTTTTGCTTCATTTGAGCTTCAGGATCAATATTTTTCAAAGAAAACAAACACTCATCCAGATTTGTTTCAAGTTGCCACACAAAAAAATTTTAGCCCTAAAAAGCATAGTGTGGATATTTGCGGAGATGGGGAAACATCAGGTCATTTGTGATTCTTCATCTCTCAAGATCTTCGAAAAGAAAGCTGTTGAGAACTTTGAGTCTATGACAACTTTTATTCTATTCAGCGAGATCTATCTACCTTGAGAGTTTCAAAACTTTTCGTCCAGCCGTTCTCGAGAAACCTTGGAAGGGAAGGTCTCCTTAAGCTTTACATTACTAGAGAAGTTCTACTGGAAAAAACATTACTCACAACTGATTTCCAATTTAAATAATGTGGAAAAAAATTAAAAAGACTGATTATCAAGTGAATTTTCAGAAAACAACTATTTACCGTCCGTTTTTTTCTTTTATTTGAGCTCCACCATCAACTGCTTGCGTTAATACTATCAACGCAATCTTCTATAACAATCAATTCCTCTATTCACCTACTTCACGAATCTATGCAGCTGGCATGTTAAATAATCAATTTGGTATATATAGAGCATACGGTTATGGAAATGTCACTTCGACAACAATTTGGACAGCAAGCCAAAGCTCAACATCCCAAACAGCCTTTCTTGCGTTACAAACAGATCGTAATCTGGTTGTTTATGCCACGGCTGGTGGTGTGCTGTGGGCAGCTAATATCCACAACGGTGGTGTTGGACGTCCATTTTGCTTCCAGATGCTAGATTCAGGAAATCTGATATGGACTGATAATTCTTCAACGATCATTTGGCAAACAAATACTGTACAGAGTGGATAACTTCTTCCTATTCTATCTTTCTACAAAATGAATCTAACGAACTGAAGACAATCTTCGATGCCATTTTGCTGACACGCGATGGAAATATAAGTTGTTCATGTAAAGTTAGTAAACCTAATTCTGTCGGAGAAAAGCACATCTTTCATAAATCTTTTATAACTCAAGTTTTCGACATCGTACAAGACTGAATTTTAATTTCCAAAGTAGAGTAAGCATTTCTCTATCAATTGATATGCGG